CCTGGGCCAGACGCGTGAAAAAGGCCGTGAGCAGGCCAAGGGCAGTTGGGCACATGCAACCATCAGGCCCTGGGCCTGCGTGTGAGGTCTGGGCCTGTGCCTACCGGGGCCTACCGGAAGCTTCCTGGACTGGACGCAGGCAGGCGACTTCGATAAAGGGAAGGGCCTGCCTCCTCATTCGGCATTCGGGTGCTGGCTGCATGCTGCGCGAGCGCTGCGCTATTTGCTGGCTGGCTGGCACTCACGCTCTCACAGGCGAGCAAGAAGTAGCGGGCAGCCATAGCCGAGCTGCTCCGCTGTGAGCTGGGTGTGACGCAGCGTGGTCCTTGGGTGCAAGTGGCATCTGTGTGGTGTGGATCGAGGTTGTGAGTGTTGCGAGAGACATACCTGGTGCTGGAAGCGTGCGGCATTGTCCGCTGTATGCTCGTACTTCAGGGAGCTGTTGTTGTCAACATCGGCATTGTAGTATTAGGCTAGATAGGATCTGCCACAAGTAGTCTGGGCGCCGAGCGCCAATAGGATATCAACTCTTGTTCTTCGTTGATGATGATGAGAGACTATTTCAGCATTGTCAATTACGAACTATTGGTGTGTTCTGATTTGGTGAATCTCGTGATGCATGACTGCTGTTGGTTCAAGGTCAAGACTATCTGGACACATATGTATGATGTTGTTTGGTTGCTGGAGTTCGCTAATGCTCATCTTCCTTGCAATTTGGTATCGGAGCTGTGGTACGATTGCGCTCATCTGGCGCTTGTCTTCTGCCTTGTGCGGTACATACATGCGGTCTGCTGGGCGAGTTTGGCTGTAAGTGGTGTGTAGTGAGGAGGGTGGAGACGAGTGTGTGGCGACCCAGGAGGTGAGGGGAATCGCCAGGAAGGCTACGTAAGGTGAATGTGGTCTGGACAGTGTGATGAGAACTATCTAATGTGCGATTGATGCTGAGGTGGAACGGTGAATAATGCTGGTTGTGCCGATGCAGTGACTGGTCATCGCAATCACCATTTGGTCATCTGGTGAGATTATCTCTGTGGTTGGGGGCAGCAATATTGAGGTACGTTACTCCCAACCTTATCTACCCTCTCCAACACTTCTTACCGTGAGGTTGTGTGATCCAACTTGAGAGTCCTCTCATCGTGAGGTGTCGAGTGCGCTCAACCTTGAGAGTCGGCATACTTCCTGTGGAGCATCAGGGGGAAGAGGGCATTGCTTTCTGAAGGGCCCTGGACGAAGCACTGGGTCACGGTCACCATGCCAACCCACCGGGTTTAGTACACGCATGCTTCGCTGCAAGTCGTTGGTTCTGCTGCTTGCGCATGGTAGGGGTTAACTTGAGTGTGGCAGCCTCTACAAACGCTTACCAGACCGTCTATAAACATTTATGGCTGGGGACTCGGCTCTGATTTGGTTGTGATCGTCGTCCTGTTGCGACGTAAAATAATTCCTGATGTCACTTGGGGGCGGACGTTAAATTGCCTCTTGATCAGCCAGATCAACCGAGTGTAAGGCTCGTCGGCGTACGATGATAAATAAGAGTGCTGTGGCTGCCTTGCTCGACGATAACCTGGGGCACAGGGGTGGGCCCGGATTGCACACCTTCAGTCACGCATGCTACCCGATTGCTCAGGACGCTGACGGCAAGAGATACTCAAGTGTAGATTGGAGGGAGGGGTTGATTCCAGGTGACAAGTTCGAGAAAATTCCATGCTGTCCTATACACACAAGTGATCCTATTTTTATGTTTTGATTAGTTAGATGGACTGCCATTGCCATCTGACAGACAACATTAGTTAGAACTGTTGATTGTTCCTGATGTTTCTGTTCGTGGACTAGTCATACTAAAAATAGTTTCAGTTGTAGGAATCTGACTTACCTGTTGACTCCAAATGAGATCTATTCCAAAAGTAGCCACCATCAATTAGTTGGTCTGTGCACTATGCTGCGGTAGGCATCTTGAATGATCTAGTGTAGATGGTGCACAGTGTTGTAGCCTATGAGCGATGAGGAGAACACCTGAGAGGACGACCGCAGGATTTTGCGATCAGCTAGGGGCCCGTTAGCCCATGTGTCTTTAGGACCGGAGGGTGATAGGGAACTGTTCCGCCGGCAGAGGGAGAGGCAGCAGCAGAGGAGAGCTAGAGCAGCCGAGGCCAGCAGGGCGTTAGCTAGCGAGGCCGGTGCTACAACAGCCATGGCTACCACAGCCATGAGCACGTCTGCGCAACAGACTTCTCAAGCYGGTAGTTCAGGTACCGCCGGGTCCACGGTCGCGCAGACCGTGAGTCAGTCCACTGGCTTAATGGCAAGCCAGCCCGCGGTGTTGACCCC